GGGCAAGGCAGGAAAGCTGATTTTCCGGAGCGAAGTGAAAACAGCTGCAGAGAAACCAGCCAGACAGAGAAACTCGCCTCAGCTGGGATGCCTGCGCCTGGTCCTACCTGCTCATCCTCCCTGCGAGGTCATTAATCACCTCCTGGCCCAGGGAAGACACATGCCACCCTGCCCATGGGGCCATGGCAGTGCCTGGCAGAGACCGGGTGGCACCAGGGCGGCTGCTCCCTCTGAGCGCTGACTCACAGGGTCAGGGTGCACAGCCTGGTTTTGGAGGCTCACAGGGATCCCGCGGCCACTGTGGGAGAGGCGAGGGGTGTCTGAGCCCCTCTGTCCTTCCTCACGGAGGTGGGAGGGTGTATTGACTTAGAATTAGGAGTCCTAGCTCCTGGTTCTGGCTTTGCCACCAAACAGCTTTGTGACGTGACCCAGAACAAAGTTCCCTGCCTCTCTGAGCCTCGGTCTTCCCTTCTGTGAAATGGGATGATGTCTCTCTCAGGGATGCTGAGAGCAGCAAGGACACACTGCACGTGGCACCTGGGAGGCACGCAGTGAGCGTTAGTCCCAGTCTCTCCTCTTCCCTGGGCCTCAATCTCCACCTCTTTGAAATGAGGTTGATGGCCGAGGATGGTGGTATAGCTGTGGGGCGCTGCCGGCTGAGCCTGCGCAGAGGCGGAGTGTGCACCGGTTCCGCCCTCGGCAGCCTTTTGCCTGTGTGATTTGCTTACGGGGATGAAATCTGCAAGGAGGAAACTTCATAGGGGTGTCAGGGGCTCGAGACTTGGGGAGGGGATGAGGAACAAGGTGCCCTGGGCTCCCCAGGGGCCAGCGTCATCTGGGACAGCAGTGTTCAGGGTGGTTGTGGGGGGACCGTCCCTAGGGAGTGTCTGGGAAATGCAGGGTGGCAGGTTGCTTGTTATGGTGATTGTGGGTTCTACTGGGCATTTGGTGGGGACAGGGGCAAGGTGCTAGATTGTTCTAGACACTGCATTTCCGGAGAGTGAGAAGGGCTTTACGGGTTGCTTGTTATAAAAAGCTGGCACTGGAATTCTGACACAGGCTACCATATGGATGAACCAGGAGGACATGGTACTGAGAGAAACAAGCCAGGCATAAAAGGACAAATCCTGCAGGATTCCACTCATATGAGGTTCCTGGAGCCATCAGATCCACAGAGACAGACAGGAGGGTGGTGGGGCCCGGGGCTGGGGGAGGGGAGGGGGTGCGAGTGTTTCATGGGGACAGAGCTTCAGTCTGGGAAAATGGAAAGTTCTGGAGACGGAAGGTGGAGATGGTTCGCAGCAACGTGAATCTACTTAATGCCACTGAACCGTGCGTGTAACGTGGCTGAGATGGGAAATTCTATGTTACGTGTATTTTATCGCAATTAAAAACGTGTGGGCATGAGGTGCGGAACCGCTGATTCCGATGCTAAAGGTCGAGCCGGCAGGGGACCATGGGAGGATTTTACAGTTCGGGGTGACAGGACTGTAGTTAGTGTCCGGGGGAGTCAAGGCCCACCCTGTCCTGATGGCGGGGGGTGCGGTGGGGTGGGTGGGAGAGAGAGAGGGGCCCAGAGGTCTTGCCCACCTCTCCCTCCACCACCCACTCAAGGAGAGAGGCTTCCTCCTGATCCTTTCTCCCTGATGTGACACAGAGCAAATGCAGCTGGGACCTGCGCAGATTACAAAGTGGGGGGAGAAGTCACACCTGTGAAATACCTGGTCTTAAATGAGCGTTTAATTTTTTTAAATTAAATTATTTTAAACATTTATTTTATTGTGGTAGAGTTGATTTACAATGTTGTGTTAATTTCTGCTGTACAGCAAAGTGGTTCAGTTATACATATATATATACATTCTTTTTCATATTCTTTTCCATTATGGTTTATCACAGGATATAGAATACAGTTCCCCATGCTATACAGTAGGACCTTGTTTTTCATCCGTTTTATATAAAACAGTTTGCATCTGCTAGTCCCAAACTCCCAGTCCTTCCTTCCCCCACTCCTCCTCCCCCTTGGCAACCACAAGTCTGTTCTCTATGTCTGTAAGTCTGTTTCTGTTTTGTAGATAAAGTTCATTTGTGTCATATTATAGATTCCACGTATAAATGATATCATATGGTATTTTGTCTCAGTCTGACTTACTTCACTTACTATGATAATCTCTAGGTCCACCCATGTTGCTGCAAATGACATTATTTCATTCTTTTTTATGGATGAGTAATAGTCCACTGTCTATATGTACCACATCTTCTTTATCCATTCCTCTGTGTGGCATGTGGGATCTTAGTTCCCCAACCAGGGATCAAACCCATGCCCCCTGCATTGGGAGCACGGAATCTTAACCACTGGACCTCCAGGGAAGTCTTACATGCACTTTTTTTTTTTTTTTTTTGCAGTACGCGGGCCTCTCACTGTTGCGGCTTCTCCCGTTGCAGAGCACAGGCTCCGGACGCGCAGGCTCAGCGGCCATGGCTCACGGGCCCAGCCACTCCGTGGCATGTGGGATCTTCCCGGACCGGGGCACGAACCCGTGTCCCCTGCATCGGCAGGCAGACTCTCAACCACTGTGCCACCAGGGAAGCCCCTACATGCACTTTTTAAAGAGTAAAATCTTTTCTTTTTTCTGCCATGGTTGGTAAGTCAGAGAGAGGAGCTGAATGGGCCGCCTGAACAAGGGGGGTGTGGGCAGAACTAGGGGGGATGCTAGGGTGGGTGTAGCTAGGAGTGGTGGTGGTGTGTATGTGTGTGACCTGCAGCTGCTGTAACAAATGACCCCACAAACTGAGTGTCTTAAAGCAACAGAAACATATTCTCACACAATCTGGAGGTGAGAAGTCCTAAAATTAAAGTGCTGGCAGGGCTGGTTCCTTCTGGAGGTTCTGGGGGAGAATCTGTCCCACGCCCCTCTGTAGCTTCTAGAGGTTGTGGAAAATCCCTGGCATTCCTGGGCTTGTAGCTGCATCCCTCCAACCTCTGCCTCTGTCCTCACACAGTGTTCTCCCCATGTGTCTCTCTGTCCAAATTTCCTCTTCTTAGAAGGATACAAGTCATTGGACTTGGGGTCCACCCTACTGCAATATGACCTTGTCCTAACCTAGCTACATCTGCAAAGACCCTATTTCCAAATAAGGTCCCATTTGGAGGTCGCAGGTGGACGTGAATTTTTTCGGAACGCTATTCAACCCAGTAGAGGGTGGATCATGGAAGATACCCCAGGCCAGGGTCCACTGCCTCTGTGGCCTTTCATGCTCTCTGTGATCAGGGGTCAGGCTGTCACTGAGCAGGAGGGCCCTATGGGGTCTCCCTGGAACAGACAGCACCCCTGTCCTCCACCTGCCTCTCGTCTGTAGAAAAACTTTAGCCTCTGAGGCCTTTTCTGAGTTCCAAAGAATAAATTTAATTTAATCAGGGAAATGAGAATATGCAGAAACAAAGGAAAATAGTCAAGCAAGACAAAATAATAATAGTTTAGCCATTAGACAGAGTCAAGGACCTTTACTTCCTCCTCAAGGGCTAGAGATCATATTCTGAGCCACATCCTTTGAGCTGTTTTGCAGAGACTGAAACCCCAGCAGGTGGAAGAAGTTACCTGCGTGCTGACCACCAGCGTGGAGACCCTGACTGGCTGGAACCAGAAGGCTGATGACACTGACTCTTGGTTAGCTCACCACCAGCCAATCAGAAGAGCGTGCACGAGCTGATACACACCCCACAACCCCTTCCCAGCACGTAACCCCTTCCTCTTTTCCCTATAAAATCTCTGAGCAAAACCTGGGGAGGGAGGAGCTGGTTCTTTGGGACATGAGTCCACCTTCTCCCCAGGATTGCCAGCTTCCTCAGTAAAGCTGTCTTTCCTTCTACCCAGCACTTGTCTCTCAGTGTTGGATTAGCCGAACCTGAGGCTGGCAACAAAGAGGGCTGCCAAGATGGATCCGGAAGGCCGTCCAATAAGGACATACTCTGGCCCCTACCGTTGACAGTTTCCCTTCAGCAGAAATTCTTAATTCAGTGCTGCTGTGTCAGAGGGGAGATGAAATCAAGCCACAAGGCTCTCCAGGACCTGGAAGGGACTGTTTACGGAGAGGCTGTCACACCGATGGTGGAGGCTGAGCCCTCCAGGTGGGGCAGTGTGGCCACCACGTGCTCACCCGGTGTAACGGAAATGCCCCTTGTGAATGCCCAGCTCCCATGTGGTGTCGCTGAAGCTCACCTGGCCTGGGCTAAGTGCCCTGGAACTCCTTCCGCCGGGCGTAGGGCCACTCCAAGTGAACTAACAGATCCTTACTTCTTCCAGCTGTCTCATGGGAGTTGACGCCTGTGGATTTTGAACAGGATGTAAGCTGACCAAGGAAGGGTAGGAAGGGAGCCAATCAATCATCGCTGTAATCACCACAGAGGTTACTTTTTAGGCACCTATGCTGTTTCAGGTGTTTTCCACCTAGAAACCCTCCTGGGCCCCCCTGAGGCCAGCATGAGTGTTATCATCTGTGGCAACTGTATTTTCCAAAAGAGGGTTGCAACAACATCTCCTGTCCCACAGGCTCTTCTAGAACCTTCCCACTGTCCCACCAAGGAGTGGGGTCTAATTCCCCTGCCCTTGAACCTGCATGGGCTGCGGATTCACACTGGCCATGAGCCCCGAGACACTCGTAGGTGATTCAGCCACCCTCGTGCTGCCATATTGGGAGGAAGCCCAAACTGGAGGCCTGGAACCAGAACCAGTCCACTGAGCCCTCCTGAGGTCTGACCCACAGGAACCCTGGCAGACAGGACATAACTGGTAGTTTAAGCTGCTAAGTGTTGGGGTCGTTTGTTACACAGGAATAGATCACGGCCTCAAAGCCAGTTTCTCAGTGAGGAAGATGAGGCTCAGAGAGCTCGGGTAAACTTGCCCAGGGCCACACAGCAAATGCACAGGAGAGTTTGAGTTCAAACCTAGTTTGATGACTTCAAGGCCTGAGCTCTACACAGCTAACATTTTCTCCACCTGCACATATGCACACATGTGTCAGTGAGGTCACCTGTACCAGGAAGAAAGCCACTCAAAGCCTTTTGCTGCGGCTGCAGAAGGAACGGTGCTGGGCTGGGGGTGGAGACCTGGGCTGGAAGGAGCACCTGGGCCACCTTGCCCTCAGCCTCGCTGTCTTTGCCCATCTTGTATCTCACACACTCATTCCTCTGTTGATACCGTTTCCTGAAACACCTGCTGTGTGTAGGCTCCCGCTAGGCTAGGTGCTCAGAAGTCAAATGTCAGTTGAGTTCCCTATTGTCACGGGCCCCCGTCTAGTGAGGAAGACAGGACCCTAACGGTCCATCACCATCCAACCCCCATCACAGCGGGACGTGCTCAACGCAGAGGGTGTCATGCTGCTGGCAGGGCTGAAGCTGTGTCTTCCGAGCCTCTAGAAGGTTACCCTGCCTCCCCAGGAGAGCAGAATCCTCACCTGCCTGGCTCGCCGCTGGAGCCCCCTCGCTCGACATGTAGCAACAGCAGCTAATTTGTGGGGGGTGGGCAGGCTTCGTGGGTTCTGGGCTCTTTTCCAAGCACATGATATGTACTGATGGATGTAACCCTTTATGCCCATTTCACAGATGAGCAGGACTGAGGTGGGGAGAAGCTACATAACTTGCCCAGGTCACCCACCCAGCAGGGAGCAAGGCGTGGTTGTCTGGCTCTGGACCGGTCGCTCAGAACCACAAACGGTGGGTGCTTGAGAAACATCTACTAAAGGAAGACCCAGGGGAACGTTTGGGCGGAGGCTGGAAGCTGGGCTGCTGCTTACGGCGGAGCCCTGGGGGAGGGCATGGCAGGGTGGTTCCAGGCTAGGAGCAGGGGTGTCAATAGGCGGCCGTGCAGGCTTCATCCTATTGTGCTGTGCTTTCAGCCTGTGGGGTGTGATCAGCTGGATGATTTTAGGGAGCAGTGAGGTAAGGGACCTGGCACTAAATAGCACCGAGTCACATGGCGAGAAAGACATTCCATTTTCAATTACCCATCAGTCCTGAACAAACAGATTCAGTCTCAGCCTAATGATGACTAATGTCTTTTTTTTTTTTTTTTTAAACAGAAAGAGCAGCTCTTGGGTTCAGAGCCACAGTTTTAGAATATTATTTTTCACTGCATTCATTGTCACCTTCTGCTTACTCCAAGTGACATGGTGTTTCAACCAGTGTTGGGTTTATGGCAAACGTCTGAAATCCCCAAATCACAGTGGCCTCCGTAAGAGAAGTTTATTTCTCTCATACAAATGCAGTCCTGAGGTAAACCTTCCAAGGTCAGTAGGGAGGTTCCATGACCATCAGGAAACCAGCCTCCTTCTATCTTGTTGCTATACTCCCTCATGGTCTAATGTAGCTGCCCATGCTCCAGCTATCATGTTTGCATTCCAGCTAGAAGGATGGAAGAAGGGGATGCTGAAGTGCACATCCTCCTCCTTTTAAAAATACTTCTAGGAAGTTCCAACCACCGCTTCTGCTCATGTGCAGAACTTCGGTTGAATGGCCATAACTTGCTACAAGTGGGGTTGGGAAATATAGCCTGGATCTGGGCAGCTAAAAGTCAGGGCTCTAATGTAAAGTGAGAAGGTGTGAACAGACAGTGGGGACACCAGCCACGTCTGCCACAGATTGTTTTCCTTTTGTGATGAAGACATCCTATTCCCTTTTCATTTAAAATTCAGTGAGGAAAGAGAGTCACTTCGAAGGAAAAGGTAAGTAAATAAAAGAACAGGTGGCACATGGCTAAGGCAAAAATTTCCAAGCTGGCCCTGGGATCACTGAGATTTGGGAAACACACTGTGAAGACAGGAACACGAAGTGAGTGTGTAAGCTGAGAATCAGGCTGGCTCTCAGGCCCGGGTGTGGACAGGGGCCTGCGGCTGGAGAGATCCCAGGAGAGTCGGAGAGGAAGCAAGTGCTTGTTCCAGAAGAGAGGCTGAGAGGGTCTGAGCCAGGCCGCGGAGCTGGAGGCCAGAAGTGTGGGGTGAGGGCAGCCACCTGCCTGCTGAGAAGCGCCAGGAAGGCTTGCAGGCTCCCGCCGGCCTGTTTGCTTTGGAGGTAGGCACTGAGGTCAGGGGCCCCTGATGGGGTTTCAGAAGAAAGGGAAAGGTTTGGAGCCAAGGTGGTGAAGTTAAAGGGGAACAGGTCAGAAGTCAGTAGCTCAGAGGCTGCTGGGAGGAACCCACGAGGTCAGCTAGGCTAAGCCCACAGGGGGTCCTGAATAAGTGAACGAACAATGCACTGACACGGGCGGGACTCATGACCTTGTCTGCATCTTCTCACTTCGTCCCCACAGCACGATGAACCCGCCCTGATCTGCTCCCCGCCCCAGGCTTCCTGCACCTTGGTCGGCTGTGCTCCCTGCTGTGCCCTGATGCCAGGAGCAGGGCCTGGCACAGCAAGGCCACCGCGGGGACGTGCTGGTGAACGGTGAGTGGGTGACCGACCTCTCCTGCGTCTGTGCCCAGACTCCCTCCAGCAAGCGTTGCATGGATCGAGGCAGCTCTGGTGGCGGTGGCGAGGGCTTGATCTCCCCAAATAAACGGGGTGGGGACGGAAGTGTGGCTTTCGTGCTCCACCCTGATTCCCCAGGCGGGAAGCCAGCAGACGGGCCCATTTCCAGGACCGCAGTGCTTTCAGCAGAGTATTTTTGGAGCACATGAGCCTTATTTTAACTTTTGGGGTTGCTCCCACCCTGGTGCTGCCTGTGGTGAGACGGGACAGCCTTCCCCGGGGGTCCTGGCTTCGCCCCCACCCCCACCCCAAGCTAGGCCACTTTTGGGGCCTGTCTGGGGACTAGAGAGTTCTGCAGGGCAGGCTGGCTCTCTTAGTCTGGCAGAGTGACTGGAGACCTCACTCCTCCCCTTCCTGCTGTGAGACCCCCGTGCTAATCACTGAAGTCCTCCGCATCCCCATTTCCTTACCTGTCAAAAGGGGAAAACACCTCCCTTAGTACAATTCAAGGTTTCCGTGAGACTAAAACAAGAGGCAAAGCCCCAAAGCCCTTTAAAAAACCCCAAAGCTGCTATACAGCTTTAACCAGCGCCACCTTCTTCCTCAGGGACGATATGTGTGTGCTACCACATTTTTTTCCATGTAACTCTCCTGAACCTGCCTGGAACCAGCCCCACTAATCTACTTGCTGCCTCCTGAACAAACCCTCCAATTTCATGCCTCTTGGCCTTTGCACTTGCTGTTTCCTGTGCCTAAACTGCTCGCCATCTGGCAAACTCCTATTTATCCTATGAAACCCAGCTCAGAAGGCCCCTTCTCTGAAACACAGTTAGATGTCCTAGATATTGCATGGGCCTTGGAGTCAGGAAGCCTGGGTTCTAGTCCTATCTCTGCCTGTGACTTGACAAATCACTGCAACTCTCAGGACTTCAGTTTCTCCACTTATAATTGTTTCTGTTTGTCTCCACGTCAGCACCATGCTTTATTTGTCCCAAGTCCTTTTCTTCCTCCCCAACGCCTAACGCAGTTACTATCCCAGGATAGTAACAAATCAGCACCAAGTTCACTGGGCTCTGCATTGGCCTCGTCCCCTGGAAGCCCCAGGGGAAGGCAGAGTACCCCCAAATTGACTCACGGGAAATGCAGGTTGTGAGTTCTACACCGGTGGGCAGTAAGTGCCTGGAGGCAAAGCGGCGATCCCTTCCTCAGCGGGGCCTCGTCCCCCACGTGGGTCCTGACACTGGATGCTCAGTCCTGAGGACCCAGAGCCCAGCTACAGGGACCCAGTGGGTGTCACAGGAAGCCCAGTGTCGCCCTCCTGAGGAGGCTGTGAGCACCGGGCCTCTCCCACTGGATTGGAAGCTCCGTGAAGGTAGCTCCCGGACGCAGCTCCCGTCCTGGCGATGTCTGCAGTAGGTGCTCACCGAACACTAGCTGACAGGTGACTGAGTGGGTGACTTTGGGCAGGCTCTTCACCCTAAACTTCATTTCCTTCAGCTACAACCATTTCACGAGGGGTCATGTCTTTAAACTGGTTTATAATATTTTCTGACAGGTAGACATTTTTAGGTTTTATGTAGTTGAATTGATCAGTCTTTTATTTTATGGCCCTCTCCTTCCTCTCCAAGATGAGAAATTCTCCCAGGGTTGTTTCATATTGAAGAAAAATCCAAATCTCGTGTGCATCTGGGATTTATTTTGGTAGAAGGAGGAAGGTAAGGATGCAACGATCTTTCCCAGCTGTCCTAACCCCAATTATTGAATTTTTTTCCTCGCTGGTTTGAAACACCATCTTTATGTTCTAAATTCCCTTTTGACCACTATGATGCCTTTCAGTGCATCAAATATCAGAAAATCCAACCAAAGTGTCTTCAAGAATTGTAAAAAGAAGTGTTAGCAAGTGATGGAGCCCAGAGGCAGAGTGAGTCAATTCAGCAACTCAGTGACACATCTCTTGGCTCTGCTGTCTGCTACACAAATGTCATCAAGGTTCCGACACAGCACCCGGAACAGAGGCTGCAGGCGTCCTTGTACCCACCCTGTGCTTTAGAAGCAAGTCGTAGAATGCCCCCAGCATCCCATTCCTTCGCGGTAGGTCCTATAATAATCCATTCTGTAGGTGGGTTCATTTGCCCAGTGCCACGCAGCCGCTAAACAGAGCCAGGGTTTGAACCCGGGCAGTTGGCTGCAGGGGATGCCGTGCCTCTCACGGCACTGCTCACTGTGTCCCTATTACATCTACCTTATTAATTCTGTTCTCCTTTGCCTCTACAGGGTCCCCCACTGTGTGAGGAAGAAGAGCTGGTCTCTTAGTCTTGTCCGTCTACTTACGTCCACTTGAACTTCCACAGTCCTTGGTTTACGGTCTGGGCTGCAAACAACATCAGCGGGACCAGATGACAGCGGACTCCCCTTTCTCACAGTAGGATCGGTGGCTGGGCCTGGGTCAGGTGCTCCTCGGTGACAGGCACTGGGGCAGGTTCCCCAGGTATCATCTGATGCCTCCAGAGACCTCAGGGAATGAATGTATGATCGAAGAGCTTCACACCCAGTCAAGTTGGCGTAAAGGCGAGTCATTTCAAACACGTGCCGTCAATCCGGAATAGTTACAGTAATGACATCGTGGTCTTTACCATGTGAAAGCAACTCCCAGCCACTCACCATCACTCATCTTCTTGGAGCCTGCAGCAGCTGGGAGAGGGCTGGTCCTGCCAGGTGAGAAAGGGAGGTGGGGCCCCACTGTGCGGTCACCAGCTAGAGGGAGGCGAAGGGCCCCTCCCCACCGCCCCACCTGAGCCTCTGGCCCTTGGCTGAGAACCTACTGAATGAAGGTGTGGATGCGTGAACGGACCACACGTTTCAGAGCTCCCAGAGCCAAGAGGTGTGTGTTCTTGTGCACGTGGCATCAACCCTGCCCGGGGAGGGGACTCTTGGGGTGGTCGGTGGCGATTCATGGGGTGGGGGAGCCACCCTAGGGTCCGTGGTGGACCTCTTGCTGGGACTAGGCGGCGTGAAGGGCAAATCCTGGGTCTCGGTCACGGCTGGGCACGATGGGCGGAGAGGCAGCCTGGTCTCTGCCCTGGGGCCCCTGGACCTGGTCTCTTATCATGGCAGTTCACTCACCTACTCAGCGGGCACAGTGAGCCTCTGCCCTTAGAGCCGCTGGGCAGCTCTGGAAGCCACGGTGATGAGGAAGCCGCGCCTGGTGGGGCACGACCAGGGCCGGCGGGGGCGTCCTCTTCGGGCGGCGGAGGTCAGGCGAGGCCTCATCACACGGGGTGTCTGAGCCGGTCCTCAGCCCCCCAGGAGGTGGGCATTTGGAGAGCAAGTTGCATAGGGCCCGGCGCCCCTCCTGTTCCTCATGACGCTGAGCCCCAGGACTTGCCCAGAGCGGCCTGGGTACCCTGCACACAGGTGTCTCCAGCTGGAAACCCCGCTGGAAGGAGTAACGGGGACTCAGACTCCCAGGGATGGACAAGGTTTTATCTGTAATAATGTCATTTCAACACACACATCGGCCGGAGACACGCTTATGCTCCTATAGCCCTCGTAACTTATAAAACGCCAATAAAATTCAAATTAGACAGAGGGAAGCCCACGAAACGAATACAGTTTAGATTAATAATATAATTAAAGGGTTAATTTAATGTGAAGGATGATTCTAAAACTTGTGGTAAAATAATACACAACATAAAATTCACCCTCTTCACTCACAATGTTGTCAACCATCATCCCAACCTTCTCGAGAACTTTGTCGTCTCCCCAGACAGAAGGTCTGTCCCGTGAAACAACACGCGCTGAAACAAAATCGTTGCTTGTGTCGAGACTGTCACCAAGCAGGTGTGGGGAAGGGAAGCTTAGACCTGCCTGGTGCCTGGGTGACCAAACGGCCCACGTTCTTCGGTTTCCAGCTTTTACAACACCGCTCACGCACTGACTCGGCCTCTGTTGCCTGGTGACAATGTGGTTGGTACCCACGTGGGACTCTTGCCACAGTGTATTAACGTAGTCACTGACTTAAGAAACTGAGGGCTTCTTTGACGAAAACGGGTTTCAATTGCACATTTTCCTTGTAAAAGAGTTTTGCCTGTTCCGGCCAATGTAGGGTGCCTGGACGTTTTCGAATAAGCACATGCTACCCTGCGTCACGCTTGCCTGTCTGGTTCCAAAACTCGATGCACACAGGAATCCTGAGGTTAGAAAGCAGTCAGCAAGATGACTCAGAATACGTATCATGGGAAGAAAAACACAAAACTGAAAAATGTATGCAGAGAGCTTGCGGTTTCTAGGAATACAGTCAGGAGTCTGCAGCATGACTATTTCTGGCGGCTGATGGGGCGGGGCAGAAGGGGCAGAGGCGGGGCTGTCCTGAGAAGGGTGGAGCCCCGCTGGGGGGCGGGAACGAGAGAGGCTTGCGAGGTAGCGTCCAGAGGAGCCGGTGCTGTGGCGCACGGGAGCGCGAGCCCCAGGGAGGGGCCCGCGGAACACCTGCCCCCACGACGCCCACGTCCGAATCCCAGAAATCTGTGATCCGCTCCCTTGCATGGCAAGCGTTGCCCCCAGCTATCTGACAGAGAGAGAGAGAGGGAGAGGGGGGGGGGGGGGGAGAGAGAGAGAGAGAGAGAGATGGGAGGCACCAGGGACCTGGGAGAGACGAGGCCAAGGTCCTCCCATGGGTGGGGGTCTGGTGCCGGGACAGGTTAAAGAGGCCGAGCGGAGCGGCCAGAACAGGTGCCCTAGAGGCCGCACAAACCAGGAGAGCGCACCGTGGGACCGGCAGCCTCCACTCTGCAGTGCACTTTGGGGATGGCCGTGGGGTCGCCTGGGAGGAAGAGGAGCGGACGGGAGGCCAGCCAGCCGGCGGGGAGAGCAGGGGGGAGGGGAGCTGCCAGCCCCCGCCCCAACGGAAGAGTCTGGAGGGGGCGGGGGCCCAGGAGCAGGGCTGGCCTGGCGAGGTGGCAGGGGGAGGCTGTGAAGCCGGGAAACCTGTGGGCCGGGAGGGGGAGCGACCCTTGTCAAGGAAAACACTCGTTCAAATCCTCCTTCGTCGGCCGGGGAATCTCCCGCGAAGCACGTACACTTGGACCCTTCTTTCCCTTCTTCTCAGGGGAAAAGGACTGAGAGCAGAACGTGGCTCTTAACTTTCGCTTCCAAGTAAACCACATGACTTGTGTGCAGCTTTATCAGAAAAAATTAATTTTATGTGACTGAAAAAAAAAAGGGATGGTTTTTTTTTGGAAAGTTGCTGTGAGAAATCTTTGTCCAAAAACGGCAGCAGCTCCCTGCCTACGTGGGGTGTAGCTGACCTGTCCCGGGGGTCACAGTTCTGGTTAGATGTCAACCACGTCTGTCCCAGGAGGGGTTATGAGAAGACCTGGAACGGGAATTCCCTGGCGGTCCAGTGCTCAGGACTCTGTGAGTCCACTGCAGGGGGCACGGGTTCAATCCCTGATCAGGGAGCTAAGATCCCGCAAGCCGCACAAAGGCCGGGCTCGATGTTCTGAGACCACACAGAGCAGAACAGCCTTTGGCGGACCTCTGGGGCTCTGGGTGACGTGTGTTTGTTTTTAAGGTAAAAATAGTGCCACAGACTTGGCCAAGCACTTCATATTTATCTAATGGCCCCTTTTCAGGGAGGTGGAGCCCCAAGGGACAGAGCCCCCGGTTCACACTCAGGTCAGGCTCGAGAGCCCACGCGGCGCCCTGCTCTCCAGGACACCCCCCATGACGGTCCACGTTACACCTGGGACTGGTATTTGGCGGACAACTGAAACTGTTACAGAAACGGGGAAAATATGGATAGCATACAGAAAAACTATCATTCAGAGAATTGTTCTCCAAAATTTGCTGTGTACCTTTCCACTTTTAGGGCCCGTATAGGCATTTGTGCTTTTTCTATACACCTTTTTTTTTTAAATTTTTGATGTGGACCATTTTTAAAGTCTTTATTGAATTTGTTACAATATTGCTTGTTTTGGTTTTTTGGCTGCGAGGCACGTGGGGGTCTTAGCTCTCCTACGCACCCCCTGCATCGGAAGGTGAAGTCTTAACCACTGGACCACCAGGGAAGTCGCTCTATACACTTTTATTGTGCCTTTTCCTTTTGTGTCACAAAAGTGGGGAAATCCTGCGCTTTCTGAGGGCAGGCTGCCTGCTTGCTCGGTCTCACCTCAATGCCTGGCAGCGCAGCTACAGTGGAAGCCCCCTGACCACTGAGGACTGAACAAACGGAGGATTCTAGCTGGCCTTGAGCTCCCACCTTCCGGGACCAGTTTCTTGTGCAAGTTCACCCACCACCAGGCTCTGCAGCTTTGCCCCAGCGGCCCAGAGCCACCACGGCTGGCCCATCTCCAGGGCCTGGGAGGTGGACAGCAATGCTGGAAGGAGGTGCTTTCTCATCCATCACCTCTTCTGTCCTGGAACTCAGATCTGTGCCTTGGGTGGTGAGATTAGGTCACATGACCTGTCTACTGAGGCTGCTCCAACATCCTCACCACGTGGACCAGAGCAGCTCCCTGAGGGAAGCCTTGGGATGTCAGTGCCCAGGGGGACCAGTGCCTCACCTCAAGTGGCACGGAGTCGGTCCAGTGCCAGGTCCCAGGCATTGGAAAATCCTGAGTGCTGTAAGCATGTGCTGTCAAAGCCTCCATGAGAACACCTGGTGTGACAGAGGGCAGACGTTCCTTCCAGGTGTGGGAACCGTGTTGGGGGATGCAGGCCAGAGGCCAGGGTGCCCAGCACCCTCACATTTCAGTAGCATATGCCATAAACCATAAGAAGATTAGCACCACCTCTGAAATCTGCCTCTGTTCAAGAAACGTGGACACATTTTCCAGATCACCTATGTCCCAAAGTGACCCATTAGCCAAGCCACTCTCATTTACTGACGATGATGATGATGTGTGTGTGTGTTATCCACAGAACTAGCCCTGACCCGAGGTCCTCAACAGGCAGATGCTCCTGGCAGGCAGGGGAATATTCAGGGCATAAACGGGCCAGGCCACGCCACTCTGGGGCTGAAGTGGTTCAACTCCCAAACTTGTGATGAATTGGTTAACACCCGTGTTCCTGGCCAGGCTTTCGGGGTCAACAGAGTAGGGCCACTTCTGTCTTGTCTGCTGCATGACCCCAGCTCCTAGCAGTGCCTGGCACTAAGTATGTGCTGAAGGCTGGGTCCACAGCCTGGTGGTGAGTGTTGCTACGGTCTCAGCAACCCAAGGTCAAGGCGGCATGGCATGACATCACAAGTAGCTTTCCCAAGGTCACAGCAGGAAGGCGCAAGGCAAGAACGCTGGGCTCTCTGCCACTTTATACAATACACAGTAGTGTGTGTATGTCAATCCCAATCTCCTAATTCATCCCACCCCCATAAACACTCCCCTTGTTAGTG